TTCTCACCCAGGGTGTGTCTAGACTACATGCCTCCTTCGACGGAGGCATGTAGATTAGCCAGATTGGAAGAGGGAAATGAAGCCGCGATTATTTTAATCGCGGCTTCATTTAATTTTAAATGGCTGCCCCGATCTGCCGACAAACAGCTGATCGGCAGATCGGGGGAGTCTGGACGCGATGCCCCGACAAAGAAGCCTTTCTTCATCGACACAGGTAAGCCTCGTGAAACCAGGCTTACCTGTGTCGATGAAGAAAGGCTTCTTTGTCGGGGCATCGCGTCCAGACTCCCCCGATCTGCCGATCAGCTGTTTGTCGGCAGATCGGGGCAGCCATTTAAAATTAAATGAAGCCGCGATTATTTTAATCGCGGCTTCATTTAATTTTAAATGGCTGCCCCGATCTGCCGACAAACAGCTGATCGGCAGATCGGGGGAGTCTGGACGCGATGCCCCGACAAAGAAGCCTTTCTTCATCGACACAGGTAAGCCTCGTGAAACCAGGCTTACCTGTGTCGATGAAGAAAGGCTTCTTTGTCGGGGCATCGCGTCCAGACTCCCCCGATCTGCCGATCAGCTGTTTGTCGGCAGATCGGGGCAGCCATTTAAAATTAAATGAAGCCGCGATTATTTTAATCGCGGCTTCATTTCCCTCTTCCAATCTGGCTAATCTACATGCCTCCGTCGAAGGAGGCATGTAGTCTAGACACACCCCCAGAGTGCAGAACTCAGCAAACTCTTCCCCTCATTCCTTGATGAAGGGGAACAACCAGCAATGTTCCCATATGAATGGGGGTGGGGAGCTTCATCCTGCTTCACTCTCCCTAGCAGGTGGCTGGGGAGGGTGGGAGGCTTAGTGCTCGGACATTCCTAGACAAGAGGGGGAGGCAGCCCCAGCCATCCCCTTTCACCTGCCTGGTGATTCTGTCTCTCTTCTGTATGGTTTTAAGAGCAGCAATCCCATTCCAGGTACATCCAATTTTTCTGGCACAACCCAAACCCTTGCCTTGCTTTTAGTTTGATTGGAGAAAGATGTATACCCGATTTGGTGGCCCTAGGTCTGACTGGTTAGGAGGGGCTCTTGAACAAACAGACAAGCGAACAAATGCTCTCCAGTATATAGTGCAAGCATTGTCCATTGTGCAGGGGACTTATCTCTAACAGGATCCTCACATGTGGTGCTTGCTTTCTCTTGGCAAGGCCCACCCAAAAGGCTTTGTTCCATCTACAGATCATTCAAGAAAAGCTCGGGACCTTCACCTCAAGCAGCAACTGCTCAAACTGGCCCTGTGGCCTGATCCAGTCCCAAGGCCTTTATCAGGCTGCAGATTTCCCTCAGGCTCTGAAAGCCCTGTTGCCCATTCAAGGGCAGGCACTTTCTCCAAGAGGTGGAGGTGCTGTTCCCCATTGAGGGTGCCAAGGAAGAGGTCTCATAATGCCAAATGAGACTGATCCAGATATCAGGCTACTCTTCTGCCTCCCCCAGGAACACAAACCATCCACAGGCTAGCACCAGCATGCAGAATGGCACAAGCACCTCTGACCCTTGTCTGGTATCAAATAGGGAGCTCAGAAAGCTTATACTGTCAATTCCAATTCCGCCGTCTGTTGAGTCAAGTCTGATATGGGTGATAGCCGTAGCGATTGTATCCACAGCTCTGGCATAAAGGGCAGCTACAGACCTCCTGTGACTTTTGGTCCTAACCTCATCACTGGTCGAAGAACTTCCTAGGGCTGCACTGTCCATCACTCCTCAAACTGAGTATGTTGCTGAGTTCTCGCGTCTCAACTCCACACTCCTGTGACAGTTGCCGAAGAGCGAGTACCAGGATTGATGAATGGCACCTGAGTACTTGGAACCTCCTTGAGCCAGTGAAGTTAGTGCTGTTGCACTGAGGGATGCTTAAGCCTAAATTTGCACTCTGATTATTACTAATTAATTAATTAAACCTCAGTGGAAGTTGCAGATACTACCAAACCTCATCTATCATAGGTGTTTGTTGATTAATATGCCGCAGAGAAATAAAAACGTTACGCAGTTTAAAGGGGCCAAACCATATATTGTAAATTTCAAAAGGTACAACAAGGAAATAAGTAGACACGCTTAGGGTACGTCTAGACTACATGCGTCTGTCGTCAGAGGCATGTAGATTAGGCTACCTGACACAGTAAAATGAAGCGGTGATTTAAATTTACATTCATTTAAATTTACATGGCTGCCGCGCTGAGCCGACAAACAGCTGATCAGCTGTTTG